TTTTTTTTTTTTTTTTTTTTTTTTTTTTTTTTTTTTTTTGTAAGTTTATTATGGCAGCCACAGTTTCTGTTCTTTTGTTGTAAATTCTAATAAAACTAAATATTATTATTAAACTTGTTAAACTTACTTTGGTGGTGAAGTTTTGGCTTTTCGTTGTTTTCTTCATAGATTTCATCTAGAGATATATCCCTCTCTTCTGTTAAACATATAAAAAAAAAAAAAATTAATATATATATATATATAGGAGTTTTTCACATCCACCAACGAAAGCAATGTGAATTATTTCGGTAATTATGTGTGAACTGAACTTTTTTTACACTGATCTTTTGAATGACATAAAGAAGTATTTTGTATTTATAGTTAAATATCTCTTAAAGGTTGCGAGTGCGCCTTTTCTTGCGTAATGTAAGCTTTACACTTGCAATTGCATTAACTCTTTAAATTATCACTGCAAAGATGTGCTTAATATCTGTCATGGATTGTCTTATGTACGCGGATCATTTTATTTTCAAACTTGATCTATGACCACAAGTGCGTAACAAGTTTCAAAGTTTTTGCGTACGTGAACTTTTCAATATGCGAATTGTCTAAAGTGACTGATGAGATGCCTTAAACTGATCGAGAACGTGTTATCGGTTCTCTGATGACGGACGTTACAAGTAATTAATTTTATTCTTCATCGCAATTTTCTTCAAGTCTCGTAATCATAAAAATTCATTTATTTCACTTCTAATGGGATAAATTTGCGGCTTATTAATACAAATTTGTAAAAGAATTCGAAAATTTTTCAATGGGAAACGAACTCCGCTTAATCGCTATTATCGGTTTTCGTGAGGGCTAGTCACTACAACAACGTGCCCGTTCCAGTCAGCAAAGGCATTGCCGTTCAGAAAAAGACACGAGAATACACCAAAAATTTTAAAAATACTCGAAAAAATTTTCCCCATTTTTTTGCGTATTATTTCAAAATCATTAATGACATAAGCGAATTTTCGCGTGTATTCAATCACTTACCATTTAATGAATTGAGAGAACGTGTAGGAAGCATTTCATAGTTTTCGCTGCCTGAACCGTCAGTACCTAAAGTACTCGATAGCATATAACTTTCGTGGCGTGGTGGTGGCCTTGGCAATTGATTAACCGAATTCTCCAAAGTACCTTCACCCGAATCCAAAGTAATTGACTCTTCCACGTGGAGATTTTCCACCTCATATTTATTATCCCACGAATTCTTAAGGAATGGACTATAAAAAGCAACTAAAGCGAACGAAACAATAAACAGATTTTTAAAATTCATTTCTTCGTGACCAAAAAAAAAAAAACAAAATCCATCATTTATTCAACCTACATTTAACGTATTGATCTGCCGAGAACGTCATAAAACTAGCCTTAAAACGATCAGCCAACGAATTGCCTTCGGTTATTAAAAATTGACAAATTTCACTGCTGAAGAAAGCATTTGCGCCGCCACTTTCTGTTATGGTAATTATTTGTAGTGGAATGTTGGAGTTTTGTGAAACCAGAACGCTGCAATAACATCAAAAAATATGTATGTATACATAAATGAATCGCGGCAAAGTTAAAATTTTACACAATAGCTAAGACAAATATATATATATTTTATATATATTCGATTGAAAATGCTCTTTATTGATATCTGCTAAAATCAATGATAAGAAATTATTAAAGATTTTTAATTTAAAAAAAAAAAAAACAAAAACAAAATCCTTTCCCAGAGTTCATATCCGTTTACCTAAAGACGTTTGCGTTCGTTCTTCTAATGATTGAATTGTAGGAAAAAAAATAAAAAAAATAAAAAAATTATATATAGTCTCGACATTGAACAGAGCTATCAAAACTTGGCATTCATTAATGTTTAATAGCTCTGCGCATAGAACAGGTTTTTAACAAAAACCAATTATTTCTTTTACAAGAAAAAAAACTTTGCATAATTGTTATAAGCAAATTTTGTTGGTGTCAATTTTATGATTTTAAAAGATCCAGTAACGAACCGATTAACTCGTCATTAACTCGTCTCATTTCGTAGTGATCAAGAATGTATTGAGTTTTTGATGCGAAAATTAGTTAAGTAATTAATATGATTTAGTTTTGAAGTAATTATGAAAAAAGTACGAAACATATGAAACTTACTTGAGATTAGCTAGCGATGAACGACGTTTAGCAGAATAAAAAAATATAAAACCATGTATCAAATCATCGCGATATTGATTAATTCCATGATAGGATGATATTATAAACTCTACGCGTTTCTTAGAATCACCAATGAATACATCTACTACTATGGAATGTTCGGCAGCCTTGCAAAATGTCGATTCCGCCATTAACGGGTTAAGAATATTCTCAATATCATATTGATCTCCACAAAACATGCAAACTAAAATACGCAGATCGGTCTGATTAGGTGGATATGATTCGAAGGTTTTCATTTCAGCCAAACGTAGCGAGATTATAACAATATTTAATATATCGTAGACATATTTTTGATGATTTTGTTGATGATCAATGAAATCGCAATGCAACATTTCAGCTAAACGTAAGCCTTCGCTACGCAAATAATCGATTTCACTTTCCTTCAAATCTTGCGGCTGATATACCAAAACAATAGGAAGATTCTCAAATTTATCTTCGAGCTCAAGATTACATAATAATGTACGTTCAAGATTGTCCTTGAGAGTTTCAAAAGATTGTTGATTTGAATAAACGCATATTAGACCTAAGTACGGAGAAGATCATCAGACCAGTTTGTGCATACATTCACTAATTATCATCGTTAACAACTTACCGCTAGAGTATACGTCAATAGCTTTGAAAGCTTCCATGTCACCATTGGCGATCCGATAGTTAAGATAGTAAGTTTGATTTTCATAAATGTATTCACCTTTTGTGCCCGTGCACATTCTTATATCGTTTAGCAAATCGCTGGCCAAATGTTCCGAGCCCACAATCAACAAATTTAGAGTCTTATCGGAACTTTGTTGCTTCCAACTGCTCATGGACTTTAAATTACCGGACGATTTGTCGCCCATAATCTCATCAAGTAAATTGTCTATACAATTATGATAGAACGGACAATGTTCTCGTATGGGGCAATGCATAAAACCTAAATGCTGAAACAATATGACTCGTCGTTCCTGATCCAGCCGGTCAAGTATTTTATATCTATTTTAATATAAATATAACAAAAATCATATAAATAGATCAATATCTATACAATAATTTGATTTCGATAATTAATATTTAATTTAATTCAATTAATTCAATAAATTTTTTTTCGCTAAAAAATTTGTTTTTCCAAGAAAAGGGGTGAACTTCTTCTTCTCTTTGACTGCGAGCTTTTCCATCTTACAATAAACTTATTTACCTAACTCAGGAAGCAGATAGAAACGATGCTCTGTCTATATGTTAAAACCCACCTTGAATCATCCTGTATGACTTCGGTTATTTGTCGCACATCCTCTTGCGTTATGGTATCCACATTTTTAAATTGTAAAAAGAATTGTGCATGTTCTAGCAGTAATTCCACAAAATTTTGTTTACTTTTCTCAATTATTTCTTCTTGATGTATATCGTAAATTTGCTGGCAATCGTGCTCCGATAGAGCCTCAAAGCATTCACGTCCCATAAAGAGGACACGCACCTCGGATAACTGTTTGCCCGGTGTAACAAATCCAGACTCTTCCAGTAACATTTTGAATTGTTGCTTCCAACTGTGAAATGATTTTAAATAAAATTTGAATCGGATCAGAATGCATTGCATGTCAAAACATACCCGATTTTCTTTTTATCCTGCTGAACTGAATTTAAAAAGTTTCTAAAAACGGTTTCCGATTCGCTAGTCTCCAGGATATCGAATGGTATGCGTGCTTCTTCTTCATTCTCATCCATATCGACTAACTCTTGCCACGACGCCTGTGGACATTCAAAAAAGTATTGATCGAATTCAACGTGATTACGTAAATAAACTTTGGCACATTCCCAGATGTCATCGTCAGTAGCTACTGTTAGTACATTAATATCTGGTAATAAATATTCGAGCGTATGAGCAAATTTATCCAAATACTGATGTAATTTTTTATTTAAATGATCATCACGTAATTTTTTCATATGGCGACGGAACAATTTCTGTCCAGCATCGATACCGAACGTGTTAAGAAATTCTGTCCACTCACGAAACTGAGCGAGTAGTTTTGAGCCCTGAGACCAAAGTATATGATAATCGGTAATTTGATTACGTATGAGACGTGTCACAGCCTCCGAACGACTCTCTAACAATTCCTTTCGCGATTTAGCTGCTTCCTGATAGGCTATAATTTTTATGCGATTTTTTACTTTATCAATCATTTGTGCTAACACCAAGAATGCCAAATCAATATTAATTGACTCATGTGCAGAAGTTTCAACCAATTGCACCATGCCTTTGTATTCCTTACGTTGGCATATTTTCTCCGCCTCACGTATATACAGTTCATTGCAGTCGTCATTTTTTGTAGTCACCAACACCAATGGCTTTTTATTTTTTAATATTAATGCAATCGCATTGTGTACAAAATCAATCTGCTTCTCTACGCTACGATTTGGCACTGGACTTACATCGAACACCACAACAAAACCATCAATACTTAATCTACCCTCAGGCATAATTTTCTGCTCATATTCTTTCTCTATGCCCAATTGGTTTTTGCAAATGTACATGAGTTTTTCGGCTGAGAAGACTTTTGTCGCGGTACAACGTTTTAAGTATGGCTCCATTTTTCCCACCTTAAATGGCTGGAATGTCGAGTCGTCGACAAATTCCGTTTGTTCAACTACATGAAATGTGTATTCGGTGCCATCGTCCATACATTTACGTACATCGCCCCAATAAAGGAAATGATCATTGTTTACAATCCGACCGCTGAAGTCACTCTAAAAATTTTTTTCCGAAAAAAACAAAATTTGAAAATAACAAAAAAAAAAAATTTAGTAGAATTGTAAAATATTTATATATGTGTGTGTATATAGAAAACTACCTGACTCAACACTGATATGTGATCTATGAAGTAATCATCAGCCATAGGCCTTATGAATCTGTTGCATAAGCATGATTTACCCACACCAACCTGCCCTCTGTCCTTCTCGGTTCCAGACAGGCCGATAACCGATATGTTAAACTGTTTCATAATGTCTTTTGTTTACCTGCAACGGCATACAAAAATTGCATAATGCAGTTATTAAAAAAGTTTTCAAAAACTATAATAAAATAAATTGTGTTCTCTATGTTGGCTTTGAAAAATTCTTTATCGTATTTAATTGGTTTGGCGTTTTATTGGCTTAACTTGATTTGCTTTAGCTCGCATTCATTTAACTTGATTTGGTTCGATTTGGTTTCGTTTGGTTTGCTTTGGTTTCATCTTATCGTCATCAGTCAGTCAATGTGTACTTTCGTTGGTAGTATGCATCATATTATGTGCTTAATACAAGGGCATGAAAATTTCATAAAATTCTTTATGAACATACACTTGTAATCTTCTTTACTTTTTCCTATACTCCCTATAAAAAGCAATTTGAATGGAAATATTTTGTGTCTTTATGTCATGTGAACAAAGAAGAAAAAAAATAAAATAAATAAATAAATAAAAAAATAAAAAAAAAAAAATTAAAATGAAAATGAAAAAACGCGCACATACACACGCTACATATAAACGCATCAATATGTATATCCACGCTTGCAAAACTCATTTCGTTTAGTTTCACATATATATTTATTAATGCACATATTTTTGCCTCACTAAATATACACATTATTCTCACACATAAATAAAATTAGTAGTATGAAAATTCTTAACAAGTCTAGATGATGATGATAGAAGCAGTTATGAATTTCTAAGGTATCTAAGAAAAATTTCATTCAAATGAAATTAAAAAAAAAAAAAAAAAAAAAAAAAAACTTTTATCCAAAGAAAAAGTTTTCCCTCGATCTTATAATATTAAAGACATTTTACTCGCATAAAATTTTTACATTTTCAAAATAATCGTTATAGGCGGTCAGCGAGCGAGCCAACTGCTCCCGCTTAAGTAATTTTTCATTATTCTATTCTATTGTCTCTGGGTCTTTGCTTCATTCACGTCAACGTTCCGCGACCTTAAACTGATTATTATATAATATATTAGTTGTCCAAGTTTTTTTTCATACATTTAATATACTTTTCATTTTTACCAATTGAACGGAACAAATCGATATAGTGAAGTGCTTGTTGCCAATTTTACAATTTACTTCATCAGTCTAAAAGTGAAGGTGACTCCTTGTACATTCAATGCAAAGACATGCAAAGGGCCTAATGTGATTACACACTGCCTTCCTCAATAGTTAATTGCAATAAAAAACAAAAAAACAAAAAGCTGAAAATCCAACATCAAAACAGACTTGCATTCTATTTGGCTTGGCAGTCCAAAAAAAAATATTCAAAATTCGATATGAAGGAAAATTTGCTTATATATATATATATATATAATTAAAGTAAAAAAAGATGCAACAAAAAAAGAGAAAACTTTTACAAAAACATTCGTATCTTCATATCATAGAGTATTTCACAAAACAGCAACACTACTTTTGAATCGGTTATTTAGCGGTTAGGCGGCCTAATGGTTAACGAGTACAAACAATAACATCATAACTATTCGTGAATAATATTTTTACATTCCTTCGCTTTAATCGTATCGTAAGATGAATGGATGATCAGATTGATTGCGTTCGACCAAAAACTGCTCCTACTTTCTCTGCTATTGTATTGGGGGCTCGAGACATCGTAACTTGACTGGGCAAAATAACATGCCTTCGTTGCGTTCACACTATCACCTTGATCGTTGGAAAAACGATGACAAGACATATGTTATCAGAGATATTCTGCTACGATGGGCGCTGGACAGCCTTGAATACTTTTTCGCGGATATTGGTTCATACAGTGATTGTAAGCAAAATCAAAAGTAACTGACAGTGAAATTGCAGTGCAATCGCCTGATTTAACGAAAAAATTGGCAAAGGATTTAATTAGATGATGTGACCGCCAGAAGGAGTGACTTGAGATGATGATTGCATTATTATTGTGTAGTGTTACCGAGCGGGAGAGACGCTCTGTTCGTTATCCAAAGAGAAGCCCAATAGGTATCGATTAGGCGCAAAAATTTTGCACACACTTCCATTTCATGATGATAATGTAATGTCAGATGGCGCAGCCAAATCAATGTTCCTGTATATCGAGAACGACAGATTATTGTCTTCCATCTACGATCCGCCTGATAAATGGGCGTGGAAAGTGGAACAAAAGTACAAAGTAAATATATTTACTGGGAAAGAAAACCTGTAAGAAAGAGGCGCTGAAAGAAATGCATGGAGCGACCGCCCTAGAATAAAGAAATCAACATTTTTATTTTATTTAATTAGTTAAAAATATGAAAAAAATTCTTTGCCAGAGACACTTTTACCCATTTACAATTACAAGTTAAGGGAAGAAAGTGAAATTCGGAAATTCGTTTGTTATGAACGTCGCAATCATTCCATATTAATGTAAAGTCCGATACGAAGATGCAGATAGCATCCAGAGATGAAAATGTCTTCGCGTGAACTGTCTCGATAGCCTGTCGTTTATCATAAATTTCACAAATTTGTATTTAATAAGGTTTTGTTAACAGTCCCACCAATTCAAAAACTTTTTTTTTTTTTTTTCGTCTCACATATACCTGTAACGCTTGAACGAGTCTATAAAGTATATGAGTTTCTTACTTTTAACGATCATGCCATGGATATGAATGTGTTGAAATAAAGACTATAATCTCAACATATTATCTAAAAGAACTACTATTTTCAAAAGTAATCGGCGGCGTAAAGGATAATTGAGGATTTGGTTTAAAAAATAAAAAAAAAAAAATAAAAATTAAAAAAAATAAAAATGCGATCAATATATAGGCTATGCCATATTATCATATTCACGAAATGCCAAAGTGTAGGGTGTAAAAGGAAAGTGTGTAGAAAGATTTAAAGTATATTTTCAGACATACAACAACATATCATTACTTCTCATAGATAAAATATAATATTACTTCCAATTGAAATTGTAAATGCAAAAAAAAAATATGCGATATCAAAATAAACGCCCACAAATAATTAGCAATATAATCGTCTATGGCGCTTCAAGGTCTGCGATATTAGTGTATTTATCAGTTAGAGGCGGCGGGAGTTCGCAAAATGCTTAACATAAAGCATCTATGTTAATTAAAAAATTTAATCGAAAACATTTCATACATATACAATCACACCACACGCACAAATCTATTTACGTATGCATGTATGCGTGTAGCAAACGTTTTTAAAATAAATTGAAATGATGAGTTTTCAATTTCCTTTTGTTGGTAAGCAAAGGGAATTCTAAATGATTTTCATTTTTGTAACATTTCTGTAATAATAATAAGTAGTTAGTAGAGCAAGGATAAACATGCTCGCAATAAGGATTCAAGGTTAATGTGCATAGCGGAAAAAAATGCAAAAAAGAGGAAAATAACGCAGCAGCAGCAGCAGCAGCAGCAGCAGCAGCAGTAGTAGTAGTAGTAGTAGTAGTAGTAGTAACACTAGGCACTAACAACAATAAAGCAACAGTAACGTCAGAACATGAACTTATTAAATATAAAAAACTTTTTCTTTTAAACTCATTTATTTGCTTCTTTTATTTTTATTTTTTTTTTTTTTTTTTTTTTTATTTTTTTGAATAGACACACTTGCTTGCATACAAGCGAACCGAGCATACACGCACAATGAATGGGAAAGCAGGCAAAACATGAAAAATGTTTATCTCGGACATGTACATACAAACGAGCAAACAAACAACTGCAAAAACTATGTAAAAAAATCACACAAATAAACACACGCACGCACGCACGCACGCACACGCATGCACACAAAGCGAAACGTAACTCCTACACTCATTTAATTCAAAACTTTTATTTATGGGTTTTTTCTACGCGAACGTATATATATATATATATATATATATATATATATTGCTTTATACACCGCGTCCGTGCATTTACAAATGTTATACTTTTTTTATATATGTTTTTATATGAATTTTAACAAATATTTACCGGTAACTCATTCACTGTCATGGATTTGAAAAAAATTTACAACAAACAACATCATATCATAGAGGATATCAAATGAAAAAGGAAACTGAAAAAGAAAAAACGGTAAAAAATATGCGGGTGTGTTTAACTGAATGTCCAAGAGAGGGCAAAAGAGAGAGAGAGCGAGCGAGAAAAAACGGAACAAAAATTATTTGCTTGACATGATGGCATACATGGTAATACAGTGACGGTGACGATGACGACGATGATGATGGTAATGATGATGATGATGATGATGATGATGATGATAATAATAATGATGATGATGATGGATACTAGAAGTGGATAAGTTGGTCGACCTGGAAACGATTTTATGCTAAGAACCAATTTAAAGTATACATACATATTCCAAAGACACTATTATATCTCGACAATCGTTTACGCTATTATTACAAATTTATTATCAAAAATAAAAAAAAAAAACATTTTTAGAATATTTAAAACACACGAACATGAATAGTGAGTGATGTACACATCCGCATTTGTATATTTTGATAGCAAACTTTATTCACTTCTTTTATTATACATTTTCAATAAATATATGCGTTTAACAGACGACATGATAATGTTGCCAAATATGCATTATTATAATCTCTTTCATTATCAATGCAACTCTTTATATAAGATAACTTTAACAACAATGTTAATCAATTATCAGACGACAAATTTTCACCCTGCGCTTCATGCATGCGAGAACTAAAAACCGAAACTGCAAATAATCATTATTATGAAAAAAGAATAAAACAAAAAATGAAGATACATTAATGCATTTAATAAGTAATTTGAAATGACGTTGTGACAATAATAGAAGAAAAAAAAAAAAAAAAAAAAAAGAACAAATAATTTATCTCAAAATAAGCTTTGGGGCGAATCTAGTTTACAATTTAAATATTTCACACAGGCATGCGTTTTTAACGATAACACACAAATTTCACTTCACCTTGCGTTTAAAAATTTTCATTAAAACGAATCGCTTTTGTTTGTTTTTTTTTTTTCCTTTTTTCTTTTTTCTTTCTGCAAAA